AATAAGGAAAAGTGAAAAAGAATCCATGCCTTTGAACTGTGGTGTTGGCGAAAGATAAGACAAGGTTCATAGGGTCACTATGAGTTGTAGACTCCTCAATGGCATCTAAGAACAATAACAACCAAGTGAAGATGTACATTGGCCTGATCTAAGGTTATTTAGAACTAGGAGAAAGCTTACCTAACCCTGTTCTTTAGAATCTAAGAATACTAAAGTTAGAAGCACTTGACTTTTCTATAAGAAAACTGCAATTTAAAAAGTATGAGGTATGCTTTCTCAAAAAGTTGCAAATAGAAATACCATTTGATCCAGCAGTTCTACTCCTGGGAATATACCCTAAAGAGACCATAAATGATATCCAAGCAGATATATGCACACCCATGTTTATAGTGGCTCTGTTCACAATAGCAAGGAGTTGGAAACAACCTAGGTGCCCATCAATAAACGAATGGATAGAAAAGCTGTGGTATATTCACACAATGGAATACTACACTGCACTGAAAAACAAGGAACTCATGCAATATTATTCAAAATGGGTGACCCTAGAGGACATTATGCTGAGTGAAATAACTCAGTCACAAAAGGACAAATACTGTATGGTGCCACTGTTGTAGAATGAGGCTGACATCAGGGTGGGGGTAAGACTGAGAAAAACTGGATAAATTATGTATACTGCATTGTAGCTGATGAGGGAGAGAACAGTTTAAAATTAATATATTTTAGGGAATTATGATTATCATAAGAGTTCAGAATGAGGGTTGCAGAGTGGAGTATACTCAGGGAGGAGGGTGCCTCATATACCAATGAAGAAGTTTTTCTTTTGCTTTTCAAGGAGAAGAGCGAACTAGGGGTGGGGAGGTGGGGAGAAAAGTGCAACAGTGAATGAATGGAAATCCAAAATCTCTGTAAATGTTCAGTGAAATTAATATTTTTAAAAGTATGAGGTAGAACAGAAACAAACATCAGTGGCCTAGTGGCAAGAAGCTGCAACTACAATCCCAGAGGTGCACGGTTCAAATCCACCAGATGCTCTGCCGGGGAAGGAGGGGCAATCTCCTCCAGTACCAGTCAGATCTGATTTGACGGTACACGCACACAAAAATAATAAAATAAAATTAAAAAAAAAGAAACAAACATCAGTACATCACTTCCTAGCCAAGCAATCTCCTTGATATACAATGTCAAGTATATGTCATACATATGTCTGCCTTCACATATAATGTCCCATCCTCACCATAAAACTTTTTGTTCAGCTTCTACTTTTAACATGTCTCAGAAACTAAGAAACTGAAACTTTGGAAGGAAATTCAGCTTGTCCAAGAAATCCCACGTCTTTCTTGTTCATCACAACTAATTGTGAATTGAAGATGAGATTACTAGGCTAGACCAGGGTATGACAAAACAAGAACTAGAGAAAACACAGAGGCAAGATCATGAATCCAATGCCAGTTCTGGACACAAAGACAAGAAGATACATTTAGGCTTCTTGCATATTGCTTCACTCCTCTGTAAACCAGGAGGTTTAAAAGGTGACAAATTCCACAAGCTAGTCATGAGGCGTGACTCCTGGAAATCACAGGATGGGCTTTTATAGAGGAAAATGCTGAGTTCTCCTGGACAGTCCTGCTGTTCTTCCTGGTGATGCTGACGAAAGCTTCAGCAATAGCTTTGACCCCAGACATAAAGATATTAAAAGTGCCTTAACTCAATCTCAGAATAAATACAAGTTTGCAGGGGAAATAGAAAAGAACAAGAGCAATAAAAATATCTGAGAAGTCAGTCTAGGGTAAATCAAGCGCCCCATGGCGGGAAGAGTAGATCAAGACAACCCAGGAACCAAGAAACCCGGCTGCCAAAGAACAAAGAGTATGTGAAATAATCTAGTTAAATGGGCGAAACTGGGGCTGTCCTCAGAAGATGAACCTGGGGCCAAAGACCATCAAATAGAGATCATCAAATAGAGACTGGATAAAATCTTGTATGGAGGTTTTGTGTGAAAAACAGCAGGACCAGAAGCAGACTCTGAGGTTGGGCATGCTATAGCAATAGCAAAATGACTGTGCTTTTCTGCCCTTGAGAAGACATGAGTTTGTTGCTGTTAGGTGCCATTGAGTCTACTGGGATTCACAGAGACCCTGTGAACAACAAAGCTGAACCGCGCTTGCCTGATCCTGAACCATCCTCACAGTCTTTGAAATGCTCAATCTCATCTTTCCAGTCGCTGTGTCAGTCCATCTTGTGGAGGGTCTTCCTCTCTTTCTACCACCCTCCACCCTTCGTAGCGTGGTGTCTTTTTCCAGGGACTGGCCTATCCTGACAATATGTCCAAAGTATGTGAGATGAAGTTTCATCATCCTTGCCTCTTAGGAAGCGTCTTGGTTGCAGTTCCTCCAAGTCTTGCTTGTTCTGTAAGCAGGTAATGACTGAGGAATGGTGTCGACCTGAGTATATTCATTCTGTCCTACTCTTTTACATCACTCCCCACCCTCTATAGCAGTGCCTCACGTGCAACTAGAACCTGGCTCAAATGGCACCATGGTCAGTAACTAACAGTGATCTCGAGCAAGCTTCTGAGGATTAATTTCCTCAGCTGTAAAATGGACTTCATTTGCATGGTTGTCTTGAAGGTTAAGATATAGACTCTTTCTAAGTATTACTTTTAAAAAATATATAGATTCTTTCTAATCTATAATAGATGTTCAATAGATGAGAGCTGCTTTAACAATTTATTACAAACGTAATGGCTTAAAACAACCAAAACTTATTATAGGTCATAAGTTTAACATAGGTCTAAAACCAAAGTTTTATCTCACTGGGTTAAAATCATGGTGTTGACAAGGTTATATTTTTTTTTAATAAAGATTCTAGGACAGTATCCACTTCCTTATCTTATCCAGTTGCTAAAACTCCTGCAATCCTTGGATAATGGCCCTCTTCCTCCATCTTCAAAGCCAACAAATAGACAAGTCCCTTTTACATCACTCTGACCAGTCATAATTCCCTCCTATGCTTCCTTGGACTCTCTCTTCCACTTTTAAGAGCCTTTATGATTGCACAGACACAATTCAGGTAATCCAGGATAGTCTCCCTTTGAAGAACTAGCTGGTTGTTATTGTTGTTAGATGCTGTTAATTGTGACTTTTAAAGAATACATGTTAAAGAGTAGAACCATCCCATAGCATTTTCTTGACTGTGATCTTTGAGTGATTGTAATCTGAATAAGGAAGGCTGAAGAATCAATGCCTTTGAACTGTGGCGTTGACAAAGAGTACTGAATATACAATGGTCTGTCAAAAGAACAAACACATCTTGGAGGAAGTGTAACCAGGGTACTCTAGAGGCAAGAATGGTGAAACTTGGCCTCACATACTTTTGGCATCTTGTCAAAAGGCACCAATCCATAGAAGAAGATATCACGCTTAGTAAAGTAGAAGGTCAGTGAGAAGAAGATAGATTGACACAGGACAGCAGCAGTGGCCTGAGAACGAGTCCTAGATTAGAGCCTTCTCAAAAGCAAAGTAGTAAGATTAGCTGGTCTGAACTCATCCTAGAATTTGAAATTTAAAAACAAGGATTAAGAGAGAAACTATGGTAGAGAGAATAGCTGCTTTACAGGGGGAAAAATGTATTATTCTAGCTCATTTTATTATTTCAGTACCCAGGAAAGTGTTTCACCAAAGCAGAGTCCATTACCAGCCTCAGATATGATAAGCAGAGGCCTGGGGAAACTCTGGCCTTTTCATCTCAAAACAGGCCTCTTAGGTTTTTGCAAGTTGGTGTTTATTACATTCTTGTACCTTCATTAGACTTAAGGATGTTCTTTCTTAAACACTGGCACCTTCAGTTCCCAGTATCTGTTTCCTTCAGTTCCCCAAGATGTACTTCTAGCACCATATTTACTCTTTGCACTAATAGAGGGACTTGACCGCACAGTAGCACCATTGGGGGACTATTTTTATCCCCTGTAACATATCATAAATAACCTGAAGCTTGGAATTGTGTCTTTTTTTTTTTCATGTGTCTCTCCCTACCCCACCATCCAGTGTTTGTAGACTAGGCAACCAACAGAAACTGGTTGAACTGAATTGAGAAAGGACAATGTTCTGACCAAGGATGTGATGGGGTCTCCCTGAGCTAGGGAAGGAAGAATGTGGCTGCAGGTTCAGATTGATCCTAATCCCTATCTTAGGTGACAAGAAGGGCATCCTGGCAATGACAGGACAAGCCAAAGAGTTCCTTTGCTGGGTGCCCCTAAAAATGACTAGGCCCTGATAAATCAGAATACTATAGAGTTGAACTTCCAACTGAAAAAGCACAAGTCTTCCAGAGCCTCTTTCCCACCCCCAGCTGCTCATTCCTTCCCTGTTCACATTTGGTCACTGGCAGCTCTAGGAGATGTCCAGACAGAGGGGACAGAGAGAAAAAACCTGTATGCAGTCAAGAGGCAGAAGGGGCTGTGACTGTGCAGTACCCTGCCCTCCCTCTGGCCAGCCTGCCTACTGGGCTCTGAGGCATGGGTCCAGCTCCCTGAAGGTGAGGCTAGACTGCCTTAACTGTGTGTGTCCAGAGTACTAGGCCAACCATCTACCCTCTAGGCGTGGAACCACTCTTGTATGGAGAGTCGGGTCATTATGTGACCTGACTTTCAAGTGGCTTTTTTATAGAGTATTCAAGCGATGAGCATATTGAAACAAATGAATACCAATGAGACAAGTGTCTGCTTTGCCAGAGAAATCAGGTTTATTAGGAGATTACAAGGGTGGACCGCTGGCACCTCAGAGGAAGGAAACAGACCCCAGTGAAGGAAAAAGTGGGCAGGAACGTTCTGAAGAGGGTGGAGGTGGCTGGACGCTTCAGACGAGTCTCTTGGCTGCCTTCCTAGGGCAATCCCAACCACGATAATTGTGTTTAGGGGCCGTTTTCATTGACTAAGCCAGGGTCAGGCCAGAGCTCTGGCACGCTGGGCCCTGTGCCCTTGCCCCTTTCGCAGTCCCTAGGCTCTAGCGGACAAAGGAATTACAGGGCCCACAGCGGGGACGTGGCGTGCAGGGGGCACAGGGATTGGAGACACAGGGTCCGATGGGTTTGTTGCACGCATTGGTTGTGGCGCAGGGGTTGCAAGGCAGCCTGGAAACAAAGAATAATATAAAAAGGTGAGTTGAAAAAGGCTTGTAATTATATACCAGAGAGACTTCAAGAATGGAATGCCTGTCAGGACTTGGCCTGGTCTGTAACAGGACTTACAGGCTCACTTACTGCAAAACTCCCTACAAAACTTAACAACCTCCCTATCTCATGGCCCCCAAAGCACTAGATGGAAACAGAAAATCTCACTCCTAGTCCCTACTTTATCCATTCCCAGCTAATGATCTTGGGCAAATCACTTAACTTCTCTAAGTCCCAACTTTTTTACCCAAAGAATGTAAAGAATACTGATCCAGCCTTCCTAGTTACTACAAAGCCAAATAAGATTTTATATCAAAATGCACTCCTGTGCACAATAAATACCATATTGTAAATCTCAAGCAATAGCATTAATTGCATATCAATAGTCAGATTAAATAAAAAGGAACTAACTACACAATAAGCTTACATTTATGATGGTTCATATTGTGCTTTCTGATCTGAGTTTGTCTCATGCAAAGGTATAATTTCTGATTCAAGACATGCAGTCTTTGTTTAGATCTCCACTGAGTAGTACATGCAGGTGTATGTGGCTTCAGCAAACACCTCCGGTGGTGTACTCACTTGCAGTCCTCACTCTCCAACAAGCCCCTGTACGTGTTGATCTCACACTCCAGCCGGGCCCTGACGTCTAGCAGCACTTGGTACTCCTGGTTCTGTCGTTCTAAGTCACTCCGGATCTCACCCAGCTGGTCTTCAACATTGGTGACCATGCACTGAACCTGGGCCAGCTGGGAGCTGTAGCGCGCCTCTGTCTCAGTCAATGTGTTTTCCAGAGAGTCTCTCTGTAGTGGGGAAAGATAACAGACGTGAAGCTCTTTCTCCCAAAGCATTAAATTCTTGTAAAATCACCAAACACTCATCTTTTCTCTCCCTTCTCATAATTTCCAACCCTTACAATTACTCCAAGACCCTGAATTCTATCAGGACCCCAAGGGAACCTACCAGGTTGTGCTGGGCCTGCAGCTCGATCTCCAGGGCATTGACTGTGCGTCTCAGCTCAATGATCTCTGCTTGGCAGGACTGCAGCTGCTCTGAACTGGAAACCACTTGCTTGTTCAGTTCCTCTGTCTGAAATATCCAGAGGGGAGAAGAAAGGGATCAGCCCCTAAATAAGAGTGCTGGGGCCTCCCCTCCAGAGCAGATGCATGTTTCAGTGCCCACCTGTGTGGTGAACCATTCCTCCACGTCCCTACGGTTGGTCTCCACCATGGCCTCGTATTGACACCTGGTCTCATTCAGCACTCGGTTCAGGTCCACAGTGGGAGCAGCGTCCACCTCCACGTTGAGGCGGTCTCCAATCTGGCAACGTAGGGTGTTGACTTCCTGCAAAAAATAGATTCCTCCATGAAGAATAGTCTCTAAGAAATCACTTGACCTTCCAAAGCCTTGTCAGTCTAGTTCCTTGGAAAAGAAACTATTAATGGGGCTATTTGTGACAATTCGAGGCTGAGTGGTCTGCATTTCATGCAGCACTCCCTTCTCCTCACTAGAGTGACATTGTCAAAAAGCATTCTTGGACATTTACTGAATGGCCACTGAAGGATGAACTAATGTCCAAACTCTTCCCCTTTGCAGAGTCGTTGTGCATGATCGCCTAATGCAAAGCGCTGACTGCACAATTTCAGAGCACACGCCAAACAATTCTTGCCATCACATAAGAAGTACAATCATGCCACGGCCCCCTAAAGAAAGAGGAGAAACCCCAAGTAACTTTTCCACCAAGATCTTGAAAGGGCAAGAATTCTGGTTCATCAATCAAGCTGCGTATTACGGTCTTTGGAGAAGAGAAATGATTGCACGACAGTAACACAGCAATACTGGGATTCATCCTCCAACTTGAAAAATCAATTACAAGCAAATAGAAAAGCTCTGGGAAGCCCAAATGATGCACCAGTTTAAAGGGAAAGATCCTTTCCATCTGGGATCATTGAAGGGTTTCATTCTTTTAGGTATGGTGTTTTTGGTGTTTTTAGAAGAAATTGATAATGCAGCCTTCAGAATCTGGTACCCCTAGTTCCACCATTCCAAATAACTAAGGCCGCCCTTACTGAATCAAGTTTGTCCATTTCTCATTTCAAGGCTCACCTCTTCATGGTTCCTCTTGAGGCACATCAATTCTTCCTTCAGAGACTCCACCTGGGCCTCCAGGTCGGACTTGCACAGGGTCAGCTCATCCAGGATCCTGCGGAGGCTGTTGATATCAGCTTCCACCAGTTGCCTCAGGGACAGCTCCGTCTCATACCTGCACAAGGACAGTCGGAATGATAACTGGTCGACCTCTGTGGCCCACAGGAAAAATCTTTGACAACCCAATTCACTATTCACTTTGTCTTCTTAATCTCTCCAATGCGTAGACCCATGACATGGAGTTCTGAAAGTTTAGCCAAGAAGCCTCAATACTGATACCAAAATAAGCAGATTGATTTGAATCCTCATCTATGTGTGGACGCTTTCTTTACTTCGTTCATCCCCTGATCCCACCACCCCATTCCACACACAGATTACTTTACAGAATCTTCCCAACTGACAGATTACCCGTCGTTCAGGAAAATTCCAAAAATCTCTTGTCTTCAATTTGAGGTTAAACACCAAGAGGCAGCCAGCAGAGCTCATTCTGAGCAACTCACTTGGTTCTGAAGTCATCAGCAGCCAGCTTGGCGTTGTCGATCTGCACCACGAGCCGGGCGTTCTCGGACTTGGTGCACAAGATCTGAGGGACAGGAAATGGCTCGGTCAGGTTCCAAACTAAATATGAAAACACCAACTTCTTTCAAATGCTCTTAAGCAAAATGGCCTTTAAAAAGGCATTTTGGGGGGGGGGAGGGGAAATAATCCTATTTCAAGGGGAAAATAGCACATAAGCAAGAAACACAATTTCTTGACCTATACAGAGGCCTCAAAATTCCCTTTGATTCAGGATGACAGCAAGGTCCCCTCACCTTCTGCTGGAGCTCCTCAATGGTCCGGAAGTAGGACTGGTAGTCCGGGCACACGTAGGGCTCCTGCTGCTGGCAGTACTCACGGATGCGACACTCCAGCTCCGCATTCTCCCGCTCCAGATCCCGCACCTTCTCCAGGTAGCTGGCCAGGCGGTCATTCAGGAACTGCATGGTCTCCTTCTCGCTGCTGTTGAAGGAGCCCTCGCAGAACCAGCCGCAGCTGCCCACATTGGCGGGGATGTTGCAGGCCCCGGGAAGGGTGCAGCTGTGGCAGCTGGGGGGCACGCAGGGCCGGGAGGAGCAGCTGGTGCGGCAGCTCA